GTAATCTGTAAAACTCATGGGAATTCGTGCGACAAAGGATCTCTTCAGTTCTCTTGAACCATCGCTACTCTATTGTACCGACCGGTAAACACTGTACCGTGAAATTCAAGAGAGCTGCATATGAAACACAGAAAGCTCTACACATACAAGTTCCCGTCACCTCAAGAGTGACTCTGTAATCATTCCGCATTCACAATTGGAAGAACATTCCCGTTGTGTTTTCCAGAAGCTAATTATAATAATGACAAAATAAATAAACAAAAAATTAGAGGAAAACAACTGGAATATGGACGATCAGTCAATCAATCAATCAATTAATCGTGCAATAAGTACGACGGTAAATTGATCTAGAATTGTGTGCGACTCACCGCGTCTCTAAATGTTGTTCCAATTGTGTACTGTTTCTTACGTTCATTGGTTTCGCTTTCTACTTTTTGGCTTTTCTAAAATATGATAAATGAAACATGATCGAATGCGACAGGATCGATGAATGGAATTCGTATGAGGGAGAGTGAGAGCACACGTGTATCTTGAAATCATCGACTTATGCTTTACGAAACGAGACGTCCGTCAATCGTGAATGAATGAATGAATGAATGAACGAATAAATGAATGAATGAATAAACGAATGACATTCTCTCTACGACAGTCAAGTGCGAAGTATTGGCCATCGTATCGATTTAACGAATTCACAAAACAACAATAACTCGCAGCTATGAGGAACACAAGATTAAGAAAAAATCCTTCCACAAGAGGCACAACAAGTGTTGCTGAAGGTTAGCGATGAAAGATGATGAAAACGCGTATTCTTGATTGCTAACAGAATATTCTCTAGTGGATTTATTGTGGACGTACTCGAGAGGGTAAAATGAATTAACGAGACAATAGGCATCTTTATACACAGGATTAACACGTCTCTCGACTTGGAACGCTGCAAAACTTGTGGTAATTTATGTATTCATACGTTATATCCGTAGGTCTCGTTAGAGATTGATTCTGAGCTCGTAATGTTACTAAAAAAATAATCTTTCGTTTGCGTATACATATCAGTTCTCGAGCATCCGTACGGTCTTAGACACACCTGCGAGATTACCCGATATATACTTACTTCTTTTTGAGAGTGAAGAAGCTACGCCGCTTGGTTTCGGCTTGTGTCGGAGCGGGCAAGGTGTGAGCCCTGGATGTACTTGCACCCGATGTTCCCTGTGCTGCCTGATTTAATGCAGATACCCAGTCGATCATTTCCGCGTCGTCTTTGGCCTGGAACAGGAAGTCGGATCCGCTTTGCGACCTGTAAAAGAAGAAAATGATAACGCCACGATTTTATCTGAATCGCTGAAATGCACAATGTGCTACTTTCGACGAAGCGGCACTTACTTGACTCGGAAGACATGTTTCTTCTTAGTGTAATCACTCGCTACGGTAATAGTCGCGCCTCGTAAATCAAGGGGAGTCTCTCCTTTGTACGTTTGATCGGGCGATGCTTTGTACGACTTCTGATCCTTATATACAAATAAGTTCTGCCCACGTACGACCATGTACACTTTGTCCCAGGAACGGTTGGATGCTTTCTTCGTCGTACTCTCCCACTCGTGCTTCCGCTGCAACGGCCCTTCGAACTCGTCGTCGCTCGGGCTACGTTGTTCTGCAAGAAAAGTGACCGATTAATATCGCTCGTCTATCTATTCGGTAAGAAGCGACTTTCTAAGATTCGCAGTATATTATCAACTATACGCGAGAGAGAGAGAGCAACGCCAGCCTGTACTCCTCGCTTGGGATGGAAGCTGTAAATTCAATATCAAGATTCCTCAAAATTTTGTCATCCAAACAAAAAGCGACTTAGGTGATATCACGCAAACTAGAATCGCATGTCAGTCAAATATCGTGTCTCTGATTCTCGTGTGGTAGATGTCGTGTACTGTCACATGGTGACATGTCCGACCATGGTGTGGACTGTCACATTCTCAGTGGATTCTCAGCGAGCAATATATGCGTGTAAAGTGAGAATGAGAGTATAAACGAGCGAATAAACACGAATTCGCTCGAACGATCGAAATAAACCCACGTGACGTCCAACGGCTGGACTAGATCTAACTAGATCTAACTAACTAGCGTATAAGTTTCCTCTTTCTCTTCACTTACCGGGGATGCTATGCTCATCATCACTCACGCCACTGCGATCTAAACTCGGCGACTTGGCGGACTTTCTCCAACGGAAGCTCCTGAATGGTGACTTGCTGCGACTTCGCTCCTTACGCCTTAAAGTACCGGACTCAGAGCCGCTTCCGCCTTTCGGAGCTTAACATGACGTACGCAACACATATGACATTATTAGCTACTTACTCTCTGTACCCTGACCCTCTCTACCTAGCTTGTAGCAGAATTGATCGGGGTAAACAATTTGTCGCTAACAAGTCCTCGCGTCCTCTCTTGTAAATTACATTATGCTATTACTTCCGCACCCTCTAACTACATGCACAGAATGTAACGAGCGGACATACTTTCATGCAGCATGCTCATGCGGGAGACACTAAACGAATATAGTCAGTGGATGACAAGTTGCAAGAATTTTCCTTTAACGAATTTTGCAACACATCCGTATTCACAAGGGGCCGTTTTCCTTTGTGCGGAGTCAGATAAATGAATTTTGGTACCAATCAATAAAGAACGTTTCAATAAGTTGAAAATGAAGATTACATCTGTGAACTCATCAAAGTTCCAGAAATTTAGGATTGTATCCATTTCTTCATGTTATGTCCATATTATATCTAGTTTCTTTTGCTTGGTTATTTTGAAAACTTTTACTGGACCATTCTATTAAAGTAATAATTAAAATTTATTGCAATTTATTGCAAAATTATAGCAATTCATATGCAATTCGTCTAAAAAGCAGTGATTGAAGACATTGATTGCAGTGTACACATTGGAATTCGGAAATCCGAGTACAACCTACGAAGTGATCAATAGAGAAGTTCAAAAAAATCAAAATAGTATACTCTACTGAGATGTAACAAGTGGCTCAGATCAAAATTTTAATTATCATTTTGGTACTTCTAGAATGATGCCATGATCCCATAATGGCCTTCAAAGCGACGAAGCAAAAATATTAATAAAGACATAATATGGAGCAATAGATAAAATCTCAAATTTCTAGAACACTGATAAGTTCGCAGACGTAATCTTTACTCTCAGCAATTTTTGAAATATTCTTTGTCGATTGATATCAAATTTATCTATTTGACTCTAAACAAAGGAGAACGGCCCCTTGCCAGGGAGAAAATTTCATTCAGTAATTCGCAGAAGATATTTTTTCCTATTAAATACCGCATGTGTTCTGAAGTTCACGCTAAAAGTATTCCTTCCATTTATAGTATATTTGTCAGACTAATAACGAATAAGAGAAATTTGAATTTAAAGCAAATAGGTAGCTATATTTGCTATATAAATTGTTAATATGATTCGCGCATTTATCTTCTCATACAGTTCTGTGATACACTAAATTTCAATAAAATCTTGACATTTTTTAAACTTTGATCTTCCGCATCGTATCTGAATATACGAATATTATGACTGATTATTTGGATAATCTGTCATTTAGACAGCTTGACATATAACACGATATCATATTATATTCAGGAACAATGGAAACGACTAGAAAAACCAATGAGCTTTGGTCTAGTAAATGTCAAGACTTTATTGAAGTTTATTGTACACGGCGAGCTAAAACAAAACCTGAAAGTAAAATCTGAAGTAAATGATTGTAAGACTCTCTGATTAAAAATAAACAATATAAGAATAAGAGACAATAAGAGTATTGTCTCGTTCTTTTTGACAGTTGCAGAAACTTAATAGGTTTATATATTGTATATATTTATAATATATTGTGCAAATTATTATCGGAACTTTTCGATCATGTAATGTGATCATCTTCAGCTGAAATTAATGCAAATTACAGATGATTCTCAGTCATACGTATTAAAGTAATAATAAAGTAAGTAATGTTATGTACTCGTTCATATATTCACCATATGTGACGAGTGGAAGCACATAAATAATTTACCAATACCAAAAAACACCTGTAATTCTGAAATTATGTTTATTAATTTCTTATTCAATATAATAAATACTATTTATCCTACAAGTCTTGAATCCTTTTTTAACACTCTGTATAAAGAGACAGAATAACAGTCTAAATACACAACCGGATTTTGCGAATTGTAACATAAAATTTATGTTCCACTATTAAGTTTTATATAAAAAATATTTGTTTTCGTCTGATTTTCTCTTTCTTCTTCTCGTGTTTATACTTAATAGATTTGATATATACTGTTGACATTAAAATTTTATCTTTGTCGTTTTATCTACTCATTAACATTATGTTCTCCAAATGATTAATTCTTCTTAATGCTATTCTCATCGTCAGTAAGTTTTTTATTATTATTGCAACATATTATATCATAATACATCAAATTATTAATTTTATTATTTTTTTTTTATTTTTTCACTATAATCTACGAATAATGATGTACTATTACGATAATATTTTTCTGTGGATCCTGAAAGTGATTTACCAACCTCGTGAATAGATCCATTAGTAATCTTATATTATGTTCATATTGCTTGTACGTCAACAAGTTGAATTTAAAGTATGATTTCTCTTGTTTTTACATATTACACGCTTTATACGATTTACCTCAGTGCTTGTGACCGAAAATCATCCATAAATTATATCAATTTTGGCTGAGGATAACTACATTACATAGTCGAAATGTTCCGATGAAATAATTCAATAAATTAATTTGTAATATAAATAAAATAATTTTAATCTGCGTGTATACAAATATAATAAATACACGGACTTTACGTTCGTATCTGACTCTCTCATTGTTATTCATTTTTCTAACATCGTTTAAAACAGCATTTATATTTCTCTCACGTCTTATATGAGTATAATGAAGTGATCCGACAACAAACTGTTGCGTTACTCACAACGCAAACAAAAGAAGAATAATACGAATTCGCTATAAGGAAGATTTTCACGATTGTAATGATTTGAAGCTCGTGTCAGTAGAGAATATTTGAAATGAATTTTTGCTGCGTGAAGAAGTCAGAAATGCCTAGCACGATACAAATACGAACGGTATCGACAGTGTCGCAACGCGCACCATCTTGGTCAAGTATGGCGGTGGTAGATTTGAAACTACAAGAACTGTCATCGCAGGATTTCTCAGGGAAATACTTAGTGTTGATCTTCTATCCGTGCGACTTCTCATTCCTATGCCCGACCGAGCTTATCCAATTTAGCGACCGCGTTGGCGAATTTCGCGCTCTTGGTAAAAATAAACCTTATCTTTACTTTCCTCGCTAATAACGCTAATATAATCACGTTTTCCGACAGAAAATATCCGTAGAAAGAGATACGTGAAAAGAAGATAAAAAATCAGCTAGATAATTTTACAAACTCTCAATAATAAATTAACCTCTCGTTTATGACAATAACGGAATTCCGATTTATATTATTCCACACGGAAGAAAATGCTGTTATATCAACAAAATTAGCTAACAGCGCTATAATTGGAGTACATCTTCTGGATTCAATAGCAATATTATTAAAACTAACGCATCATATGTTGTTTAATAACTCGAGTATTAGTTTCAATAATATTGCTGTTGAATCAACATTTGCTCCAACTATTGTTGACTAATTCTAACGATACAAGAGCATGTTTTCTATATAAGGCATGATTATCGTAATCCCGGCGCCAAGATTTACGATCTTGTCTTATATATTATACTAAAAAACAGACAAGTATTTTTATCTATCTTCATTATTTTAGAAGATATAGTATATTGAAATTCAAGTAATATATTAAAAAACTGAGACAAAGAGATCCCTTTAATTAATTGCTCGAATTTTTCTTCCTAAAATGATATATAAAAATGGCTATTTTGCAAAGTTTAACAAAAATGAAAGTTTTATTTTATTCAATCAAATCTTTCGTTTTCCTAAAATGTGTTGTGGCGAATCTACTATATATAAAAAATTTCAGTATATCATGTTTTCCAAACTAATAAAGACAAATAAAAGAACTTGTCGAGTTTTGTTTAGAAGAGACCATTCTTCTTTGTCCGGAGCCAAATTAATAAATTTTAGTATCAATTGGGATTTTATCTATTACCTCATATTATGTCTAGTCTCTTGTTTGGTCACTTTAAGTCACTTTAAGGTCACACTTTAAGGTTTGGTCACTTTAAGTCACTTTAAGTCACTTTAAGTCACTTTAGAAAACAGTGATGGAAGCACAGATATTAATCGCAGTGTGCACATTGGAATTCGGAAATTTGAGTACAATCTGCAAAGTGACAAGTAGAGAGGTTTTTAAAATCAAAACAGTATTCTACTGGATTCTCCCAGATTTCAATTATTTTAGTATTTCTAGAAAAATGCTATATAGTCCCGTAAAGGCTTCCAAAGTGACAAAGCAAAAACATTGATAAAGATAAAATTTCACATTTCTAGAATTCTAATGAATTCACAGATGTAATTTTCACTCTCAGCACTTATTGAAACGTTCTTTATTGATTGATACCAAAATTTATTTATTTGGCTTTGGAAAAAGAATGGTCCCTTGTTAATATAATATATTGAATGAAATAATAAGACGAAATCGTGGCACCGAAGAATAATCTCCCCGTATATGAATGTCATACTTTGATGTATCATAGGCGCAGAGGTGGTAGCTGTTTCGACGGATTCCGAGTTCTCGCACTTCGCTTGGATGACGACGCCGCGGAAACAAGGCGGCCTGGGCGAGATGCGAATCCCGTTGCTGGCCGACAAGAGCCATCAGATAACGGAAGACTACGGTGTGCTGGACGAGAAACAAGGGACCGCGCGTACAGCCTTGTTTGTCATAGATCGACAGGGAATCATACGTCACATGACGATAAATACCGAAGCAATACCGCGATCGGTGGACGAGGTGCTGCGTGTTGTGAAAGCTTGCTGCTTCGTGGACAAATACGGACCTACGTGCCCGTACGAATCGCTGCAGCCGAAGAACGCGTCCGGCGAGGAACCGGATTATTTCAGCACGATTTAATTTATTCAACAATGCGTCGTTCACGCGTTTGCGACTTCTTTCATTCATAATTCCGCGTAAGTAAGCCGCGCGGTGCGCGCGTTAATCACGCGACGACTATGCACAAGTCGCGACAATGTGCCGCGAGTGACGTAAATAATTGACGTTGGCTATAAATAAACGATCTCCCGACGTGTAATTTCAACGTGACACAGATCACCTGAAGTGTGAACACTTACTTGTCGGTGTAGGTAGACCACGCGGCGAAGTCGGTGACTTCGCGGACTTGGCAGAGATTGGTGCGACAGGTGAGGTTCCTCCTTCCCGTAAAGACAGTTGCGTAGGTTTTTGAGCATGCACTACACCACACCAATCACAAAATCATGCTATGTATTACTCAGATATTACACATCGTGCGCGCGTGTGCATGTGTGTGAAATTATAAGAGCGTCGTGTACTACACATTCTCATCGCGATAATACCAATGCCAATTATCTCTCGATTAATTACAACTGCCTACACAAAGGCGTGCCTCGCGTTAAAGTTGCACCATTGGAATAAAAAAAAAAAGAACAGAAAAATTGGAACGGCAAATTCCGGAATTATTTTAACGACAATTGACAATAATCGTATGCACATCGCACAAACACATTTAAAAAGTAATGCGTACACAAAAAACATAAATTCCTGTTTCTTATATTTGACACAACGAACGGGGATATTCTGTGCGCAGCTTACCTTTCAGGCAAGGTATTTAAGGAGGTTGTAAGACAAAATTTGTTTATTATCATTGAAACTTGCACTACATGTAAGTTGAAATATCCAACTGCTCATGCAATTAGAAAAAGGTTGATCATTCAAACTAAAGTTAATACTTCCTATTCTTCAGGATTGGTGTGTTATCTTTAATTTAAATTTTTCATTTACCATAAAATAAAATTAACGTTATACGGAAAAACTATTATGATATTAAAAGCTAATATACCGATATTGTATGTATATTTCAGAATTATTAATTATTAGTTTTGCTTAAAAAATACAGTGGTGGAAAGTACATACTTTACAGTAAAATACTCGATATATATGTGTATGTATACGTATTTAAACATTTATATACTTCTTTCTATTACTTTATTTCTGTGCATCTCTACTAGATCAACTGATGCATAAATAAAATATTAATAAAAAAAAAAAGATAATATTTCAAGTATTTATAATACTGTGTGTATACAAAGTGGACATAACTTGATCACTTTAATTATTTTCGTTTATACTGAACCAATTCAAATTAATTTTGTCTTTTTTTAATTTGGTTCAGAAAGGTCTACAAACTGATGCTTTTTCTTTCAACTAATGTCTTTTTTTATGGAATTTTCAAGATTATTTTAAAAGTTTCTAATGGAAATATAGTTTTTATAAGACAAATCTACTCTTTTCATCATTTTACGTATAAAAGTAAAATCGGAAAGTGAATACTTTCCGAGATATTTTTATTCTATTCTGATACTTTTCAATACAATATATGAGATATCTCGTAAAATATATTTACTTTTCGACCACCTCACCTTAATACTTACAATCTCCTTGAATATCATTGCCTGTATGCTTGAACGCGATCATAATGTGAGGAACGAGATGAGAAATGTGAAACAGATATACCTACCGGATTGGCGATGTGAATGAAATGGCTCGCGATGGATCGCGCATGGTCAATAATTACAGCGATAACGAAAGATTCGCTATGAAGAAACGGCTGCAGGTCTATTCTGCAACTTTTGACAACAGTATCGTTATCGTTACATTGTTGCGCAAGTATAATACATGGTAGAAATCGTAGCTACACAACGATACATCATGCTAGTGACATTGTCGTCAAAAAGTTACAGAATAGGTCTACTGGCCGGAAACGTTACGGAAACGTTACGGAACTATCGCTTACGTGACTTAGTTACTGCACATGCAACAAATTAAACATGTTATCTGATTGTTATCTATATTATCAGCTTGCAGCAGATGACGGAAAGAGCATCTCGGGCGAAGTAACTCGGTCATAGCTCCCTGCTAAAGAAAATGTTAATAAAAGCGAGTAAACGGTGAATCGTGTGGGCGAGAGAAAGAGAGACAGAGACTGAGAGCGAGAGCAATAAGTGCAATGTCACTACGAATAAACGCTGAAAGAATGTGAGGCATTATTGTGTAGATTTAACGCCAATGCGAATCCGAAGAATAAAGCCGTCGTTAACTGCCGCTACAGAATGTAGTAGATATGACTCGCAATCCATCACCAGTTTGGAAAGTCATGAGGGCAACCTATATGATCGAGACTGCAGTGTCGTAGAAAAGTCGCAGAGGCATCGAGAAAAGAGATATATACACATATACATATAATATATATACTAAGTATAAAAATTAAATTCTTACACATTACGATAATTTGAACATATATCATATGACACTCACCTTCCTTGGGCTTGTCTTGAGGCTGTGGTGTACGTGTAGAAGCCTTGCGATGTGCCACTGTGGTTCGTGCATTCCGTGTCGCATTAGGGTGCATTCAAGGGGCGAGGGGAGAAAGGCGATGAAACGATAATGGTGGTAATGTAAGGACGTGGGCGACGGATTCGATATGGATCGGAATGAAGTATTCGACGTAGGTGGATGGAAGGAGACAGAAATAAACGTGCTGTTAGCGATGTCATGCTTACATACGAACAAACCGTATTCGTAGTACCAAAATACTCGAGAGCGTTATTAAGTTTTCACACAAAGAGCAAGATCTCCCGCTATTTTAGTCGATTTAGTCATAACACCAAGTCATTACACTATACTCCCGGGTCTGGTACTCTTAATCTCTTCTGGTTACATCCATTACGGTCCGCGATCGTTATCGCGACGAGTCAACAAAAGCTACACGAACGAGTAACTCCGATAGAAGAATTTTCGTTATGTTTTAGATGCTTGTCGAATATCGATCGCGTTACTTTATGTGAACATTCTCTTCAGACAAAATGCAAAGTTGTACGATTAAAAAGTGATGCAGTAGGTATCCAGAAGTCGTCAAAGTCTCGATTGATAAAAACCCAAAAATGTATTCAATAAATGTTGTTGTATTACCGTGTCCTTCGTCTTCTCCGGCAGCGCGTTCAACAGCTCCGTCAGTTTCGGCTCTGCGATAATAACAAAATTTGCTCGTGAGATCGTGGAAAACTGCATCATCGTGTAGAAAAGACATCGGTACGTTACCTTTCACTGGGTGGTTCGTCTGGACTAGTAACGGGCGTCGCCTTAGCCAAACGCGCGGCCTCTGCGGCTGCCGCTTCTTCCTTCTTGCGTCTCTCCTCTTCTTCTCTTTCTTGCTCCCGTCGTTTTAATTCCTTCAACTCGAACTGCATCGGAAAAGAAGCATAAAGGAATTATGAATATTAAATAAACTAATTATGAGTATTAAATAAACTAAATCGTAGTCCGCATTCATAAATTATACGCAAATATCATCATATAACTGCAATACAGTAACTGCGACAATTTACATATTTAAGTAGCGTGCAACACGATAGGAAGTTTTTATAATTCTTGTTGCTTTTTAGTATTTAATTACGATGTTACTTAGTCACGAAATGACCGTGTATCTACTCACAGTAGTAAGTCGGTGCAAGGCACTAAACCTTTCCTCTTGGGCAGCTGCCGATTTTTCGAAAGCTTCGTGTTTCTTGATCAGGTTCTCAACCTCGTCGATCGTATGCTGTGGAAATATTTAATCTTTTAAGAAATCGGTCCACTCGCGACCGAGAAACGGCAATTCGACTCTACATTCGAAACAATTCGATTACTTACACCAAGTTCTTGGCTCATAAGATACGGCTCTTGAGCGATTAACCATGCTTCAGCAACCGCCGCGTCTCGAGCGAATTGGTAGACTTCCAAGACTACAAACGAACAAGAAAATATTAGAAAAATACAGAATCGCGCCCATAAATCTTCAATAAATACAAAATTATACATTCGTGAATATCAAATATATCGTGAGTGCCAAATAGATATAGTAATTCTTACTAAGTTGTAAATTCTCCCAGCGTTCCTCCCACCGATGTAACAACGCGTTTCTGTGGTCCGTTAATGCTGCCAGTTTCTCCTTGATCTGCGCGCTCGCGTAATGATTCCTAGCTAACAAATCCTTTCCAAGGCTGATGCACGCCATCAGATTATCCTCCCTGGCATCGATCTCCGCCTTGAGGCTCTGGTGATTATTCATTAGCAGCTCGACACCGGCGACATCTCGTGGCTTCTCGGACGTGTTCATCTGACGCACTACGTCGTCCATCCAAATCATCAGCGTTCTGACCATATTGAAGAATTTGAAGAGATCACCGGTGTCTTCGAGCTTAGATCGTCTGCCTTCGCACAAGGACTGCATATTGTTCCACGCCGCCACGACCTCGGCCTCGCGGTTTGTGATCTCCTGTGCCTTATCGCCGGCGTAGCTCGCCTGCAGTTTAGCGGATTCCTCCTCGATCTGTGTTACCTGGCTCTGCAACGTTGACAGATCCTGAATGAAGTTGGTGTGCTTACGCTGGAGTGCTGATACCGAGCCAGCGTCGCGGCCCAGCTCGTCGGACATGGCGTTCTGTTTCTCCAGGATTCTACTAAGCACGTCCTTGCAATCATGGAAGAACTTGTGCAGCTCGCGACTGGCCACCAACATTTGCGTGCGAGTCTCAATCAGCTCGAGCAGATCTTGCCAGACTTCGTTCAGACCATCCTTCCATTCGGCGATCGTAGCTGCGTCCGAATGCCCGGTAGCGATTAAGGAATCGGCGATACCGTTCACGGCTTCCACTCTTTCGGAACCAATCGCTTCGGTGTCGCGAGCAAACTCCTTGAATCTCTCCCATAGTAAGGTGACATGATCGTAATCCTGACCCAACTCGTGACTGCTGGCGACCAATTCTCTCTCCGCGATCCACTGCTCCAAGTCGTCGACTTCGCGGTTTAACATGAACAGCTGGAGTGCTTCGTCCAGTTTCGCGCGTCGCTCGCCTGCCAGATCCTTTAGTCCGGCATACAGTTTGTCCACCTGCGACTGCTTCACGGCGATCTGATCGCCCAACGGGTGCTGATCGTTGATAAGCTGCCTAGCGGTCTCTCCGAGCTGGCGAATAGTTTCCGCGTAATCCTCCACGGCATGCTCCAGAGACTCGTGTTTCTTCATCAGGTTCTGAGCGGAGATCTCGTCTTTGCCACGATCC